CTTGAAGGCAGCACACACTTAAGGTCTTGACTATGTTTAAACATTTTTAGTTTCCACATTTAATTTAAAGACAAGTATTGGCCTTGCAATACAAACAACTAGATTTGTTATTACACCACAAATTTCAATGTAACATTCCTTTGCATTGATGGAAATAGTTATATTATTTAGTACATTAAGCGAGCAATTTGACTTCAAAAATCTACGTTTCTACATCTGCATCTCCTGTTTTTTCTTATTTTCTATAGTTAGAGGTTATGAGACATGTACAGTGCATCCTAAATCACATTCTTCCCTATATAGTATGTGAACAACAGTATCCAAGTAGCCAAGTAGTATGTTTGAATTGACAGCATTTGAAATAAAAGCTGACGAGAAACACCCAGATGACTGACTACTTCCAGCAAGATTCTGAAGTGCACATCCAGTGGACACTATGTCATCAGGCCACGTGACAGAATTTCTAAAGTAAAGCAATGCAGCTAACATGGCCATGATGACCTGGCAGATGTAGTACATCCAAATTCCATACCTAATGTTCATACTATAAAGAATGTACTTTTCTAATGGTCAAAGTAAATTCAATTACAATCGTAGTATACCTACTTGAGAAATATGTGATTGCGAACACAATATTTTGATGGAGCACAGTGTACTTCATCTAATTTCAACTCAACACAACTCAACTATATGCATTACTGACTATTATACTGTAATATATAATATATGGCAACAAGCTGAACCAACTGGTTAAATGAAGACATCTAGACTTCTCCTAGTGTTTCTCAACTACGTTTCTGGAGGACCACCAACTCTGCAATTTTTCCATGGCTGCGTCTGAAGCCGCCTACTACTCAGTAGGTACTGCATTTGAATTTAAACGTACTACTCGGCCGTTAGAAAAGTACGTTCTATACAGTATGAATGTGAAAAGTATGAATGCAATTCGTACGTACTACATCCGCTATTTTGTCAGGGTCACATGACCCACCTAAGTCAGTTGTGTCGCTTTACTTCCATTCATGAAGGGCATCATGGGATAGTGCAGCGTGCATGGGATGCACACTCCAGAATCTCGCCTGAAGTAGCAAGTCATCCGGGTACTTCTTGCATACTTTTTTTCGAATTCAGACATACTACTTGGCTAGCATACTGATTTTAGCATACTATATAGTATGGAAGTATGCGTTTTCGGACGCAGCCCATGTTTCCTTAACTAAACACACCTGATTCAGATCATCAGCTCATTAGCAGAGACTGAATGGTCTGTATTGGGTGTGACAGACAAAGGAGAGATCTAAAACATGCAGTGTTGGTGGGCCTCCAGGAACATGGTTGAAAAACACTGATTTAATGGACAATTTAGTTTAAACAGCTGGGTTAAAATATGTATTTTACATTTAATTTACAGGGCCCTATCAAACACAATAAGGTGCAAGGAGGCACAAGACGTGCTTGCCTCGGGTTTGCTCCAACATGTTGCTATTTTCAGACCATTGCAACCTTAATTTTCCCATTTTCCTCCACATTGTTTAAGTAGCAAATTAATTTGTGCCACTTTGTGGACTCATGGGTCTTCCAGTCTAGAAAAAAGGCATTTTATGGCACATTGTTGGTGCGTTGCTATTTTGAGGAACTAAAATAGACTGTGCAATTGACCAGATGTAAGCAGGTCTAAAGTCCAGCGAACAGTGCGTTAGTTGTGTGCCTCATTTACACGTTGCTCGAAACACAGAGGATATATAGCAATACGCAAACATCTGTACAAATGAAAAAGAATTAAAGGAATAAATATAAAATAAAATAAATATAAAAACCACAACCAATACCACTACCACTCCATGCCTTCTTCATCTCGGGGGGCTTTTTTTAGTTATTCACGACATCTTGCTTTTGTGTATTGTATATTGTATTATTGTACTATTGTTTTATTTATTTATTTATTATATGCATATTTATATATATTTTTTAATTAAAAACAAGACTAGATTTGTCCACTTGTCGCGTTTGAGACTATATGGGGCATAGAACGTGTTTGAATATAACTCACTTTCCCTGGAAGGGGAACTTCAGTGCTATAAGTGGATTTTATCCATGTATCCAAACGTATTGGCAGCGTCAGCTTGCTCACCTGATGCTTGTTGCAATTAATTTAGCATAAAAGCACAGCAAAAGCAAGAAGATGCAACCTTTTCACTTTAGAGACTTCTACAGCCTTCTGAGAGAGTCTATGAGGGTTCCTCCAGCTGATATCCAGCGATTTTAAGCGAACGAGAGCGGTCTCCTGGTCCAGAGTCTGTACACGCGGCAGCAGACGTCGAGCTGGGCTTCTCCCTTGCTTGGCGTTCTATGGGTCCAGTCCTACAGAGTGGTGCGTTCAAAGTTGCAAATTTCACTAAGAGAGCTAAAACAGTTGTGCAGCATGTCCTTTTCAGGATGACGCTCCGACCGTGAGTTTCTGGATGCTGTGCTTTCCTGTCCTCGGATGATGGGCACGAGCACTGCGTTGCATGTCTGAGGGTCCAGCATGTTGATGCGGTGCTCGCGGGCAGTTCATGTCATCATTATGATGTCATGTTTGTTGCGCAGTTAAGATCGCGGCTAGCCCTTGCAAAAGGGCGAACCATCACAGCTGTTCCCTGCACTGCAGCGAGCTATTGCGCAGGCCTGAGGGTTCCAGTGGGAGGTTATCGGTCGCCTTTGGGCCCGCGGACCTCCCGCTCCTCCAAGTGCTCCATCCAAGCTTTGAGCAGAGAAAGCGATCCGTCTAACCAGATGGTAGCCCTTACGTTCGATGACACTGGGGACCAGACATCCACTGCTGCATCAGAGGGTGGGCTTTCATTGTTCGACGAGGATCCAGACCCGCTAGCCCCTTTCGGGCAGGTGAGCAATGTCAAAACGGATCCTGAAACTGACATGTTAGCCGTGCTTTCCCAGGCTGCTTCAGCCGTGGGGTTAGAGATGGTTTATCCCCCAGCTCTGCTGCTGGACCGACTAGATGGGTGCTACGTAGAGGACAAGAGGGCCAAGCCTTCGAAGCCTCTCGTCCCCTTCTTCCTGGAGGTGCACAGTAGGCTCGCGCAGTCTTGGAGGGCACCTTTTTCTGTCCATGCTGTGTGTCCCTCCGCCCTCACCACTCTTGACGGTGGAGCAGCCAGGGGGTATGAGGCAATTCCTTAGGTCGAGTGCGCCATTGCGGTCAATCTTTGTCTGAGTAGCGTCTCTTCTTGGCAGGGTCCGCCTCGTCTCCCGTCAAAAGCCTGTAGGTAATCTGCCTCTCTCGGTGCCAGAGCTCACAAGGCTGCGGGCCATGCTGCTTCCGCCTTGTATGCTATGGTGACCTACCAGCGCTATCAAGCGCAGGCGCTGGCCCAGCTGCACAAGGGTGGAACTGACCCCCTGAAGCTTGCTTCACAAGCTCCGCACCGCAATCGACTATGCTCTTCAGACCACTAAGTCTGCTGCGTGTGCGATGGGGAGGACAATGTCCACATTAGTGGTTCAGGAGTGCCACATCTGGCTAAACCTGGCTGATATGCGTAGAGTCAACAAAGTCAGCCCCCTGTCCGCCCCTGTCTTGCGAGAGGAGATTGCTGTCCTCCAGGCAAAGGATGCAATCAAGTGGGTACCTCCAGCCGAGATGGAGAGCGGGTTTTACAGCTCATAAAAATAAGTAAGGGCCAGGGAATCACGTTGGAAATCTGTGCCTCTCTATAATGCAGGTGCGCTCACGCTATGTCTGGCTATTCTCTCATCGGAGGCGAAGGTAAGGTGCAGTCATTATGGCGTTTTCCAGACATTTCCCCAAACGTGGATTAAATCCGTTTATAGCATTGAAGTTCCCCATCCGAAGGGACGCTCTGGTTACTAAAGTAACCCTCGGGGAACGGAAATGCTATATTGCATCGCCGTAATGATTGTTCCTTAGATGTAGATATCAGTCTCTTCAGCTTAAAAAGGTTGCTGCATCTTGCTTTCGCTGTGCTTTTCATTATTAATTTGGGACTTAATTGGCCTGATTACATATTCAGACAATTGGCTTTCAGAACCAAATCCCCATATGTGGATAAAATCCACTTATAGCATTGAAGTTCCCCGAGGGTTACTTTAGTAACCAGAGTGTTTTTTTGAGCACACTTTATTATTACTTTTCATTTATTAGTTTGCTGGAAAGTAGAACTGAATTTAGAAATAGTTTATAAACAAATCTTTGAGCTTAACAAAATAAATTAATTATGTAGATTAATGGATGCCTGTGCATACAACACCGTTTCCTTATTCACGAAAGAGATGATCTGTTTATCTGTTTTCTCACTAGTGAAGCGTTCAGTTTTTCACACTTACAAAGTCTGTTATATAAATAGCAAATGCGCCAAGGTGGGACGCACCTAACTCTTAAAGGGAATAGGAGATGAGACTCTTGATTGTTTAACACAACCATAACTCACTAAGAGAACAAGCACAACCCTGTTAGACCATGTGCCGCAGCGCAAAGCGTATTTTTCCGTCCTTAAAACAGCAAAAGGGGATTCGGACATGCCCTTGATGCTTTTGCTCCTTGCACTTTAGACTTTGCGCCTAGATTGTTGAAATAGAGGCCAAAATTTTAACCAAGGATCACGGTTTGTCCATATTACGGTTAAACAACCCAGCATTTTTTAGTGTACCAATTTAAGAATCATTTTATAGGTACATTGGTCCATTACTGCTAGTTGTATATAAAGCCTTCAAGATGGTATACTATATAATATATCACATTGATTGAGCTTTCTTTCTTTTTTTTTCTTTTTTTTTTTACTGTACATGATACCACTGGGCAACAATTTTCAATAAACTGAAATAAATGCAACATGCTGACAACTGTATTCACACAACGAGTGAGATAACGTTTGACTAATCATCAAATAATACATGACTTTTCACATTAAAAGCACTTTCATCTATTCACATGGATACATATAAAATAAAACTGAATAGTCCTGCAAGAATTGTCTTACCACTTTGGGTTTGAATGGAGGCTGTACTTCTCTGTTTGCCAGGCGATCCCAGTCAATGCGACGGAAGAAAGCATGTTCCCTAATATCTCTCTCACCCTCTTGACCACAGCCCAGGCGTTTTGAAGGGTGTTTGGTCATCAGCTGAGACACAAGACGAATTGTAATCATTACAATCGTTTCATGAACTTTTATTAAAGTGAGAAACAACATGACAAGTTGCATGGACAGTTCACACAAATGTTTTGGATATAATATAACTTAGCTGACTATTAAAATGCTGTACAGCAGAGGTGTCCACACTCGGTCCTGGAGGGCCGGTGTCCTGGAAATATTAGCTAGCTCCAACCCTAATCAAAAACACCTGAACCAGCTAATTAAGCTCTTACTAGATATACTAGAAACTTCCAGGCAGGTGTGTTAAAGCAGGTTGGAGCTAAACTCAGCAGGACACCAGCCCTTCAGGACCGACTTTGGACACCCCTGCTGTACAGTATGTGATTCAACCCACAACTAACCCTGTTTTTAAAAGAGATTAAATGGTGACTTAAATTTGTCTGGAAAACTGGCTTCAGGAAAATGTGTAATTCATTATCACCCTATAGTCGTGGACTTTTCTGGGTCAGCTTCTGACAGCCACTATATATCTATTAGTAAGTGGCACAGCTTACAAGACATAAATTCGCACACAAAGACGCACACACACACTCCAATAATGCCCAGAAATGAAAACAGATGAACTTACACTGACCGAAAGACAGAAGGTGAGAGATAACTATATAAAAGTCAGACAATGTGATGATGCAGATCATTATTTATGTTGTGTCTTGCTTCCACTGACATTTCTAAAAGCACCTTGAGTTGTAATGACAAATTCAATATGTGGAAATTAAACATTTATCTTTCACCTTGATGAAAGTTCTTTCTAAAATGTTACTCCAATTTAATGTTATTTTGTTCTTTAAAAAAAAATGATTTTAAAGCAAATTCAGCCATGTAGTTCATTGGTGTCTGGAATCTGCATCGATGGATTGCTCTTCAGTGTTTGGACTCTCAGTAGTGATTATCAAATAACACTGAACTAAGCTAAACTGAACTGAACTTAAACACTGAAAACTGGACTACACTATTTAAATTTACTATGATCTTCTATGTGAAGCTGCTTTGACACAATCTACTTTGTAAAAGCGCTATAAAAATAAAGGTGAATTGAGATTGAATTGAATCTTGGCTAGTTTATGCATGCAATCACTTTATCATAACACTGTCACAGTATCAGTATTTTGTCAGTGATGTTTACAGATATGCATCATACAGTAAAAATATATGTAGAATTGTAAAGACACAAGAAAGAGAGTTGATATCTACAGTATATAGACAAAAGAGCCGAAAGTACTGAATCTTGAAATGTCTTTGTTGATGTCATTTAATAAAGATGTTGAAAATAATAAACACTACCGGATGGTGTATCACAGTGGTTAAGTGAGAAAAAAAGAGATCTGTTTTTCTTGCATTCTAAACATCTGGCAAGGTAAAATAATTAAAGTTTTAGTCTTTAGTCATACTGACACTGAATTTAATAACAACAGGCTGGATCCATGGCAAAAGGAAGCCTAAACCCTGATAAGACTGTTATTAAAAATGAAACCAGGGGTTCATGAGCTTTTTATCTAAATTGGATCAGCTCCTCCAGTGAATTTCTGATGGGCTCTGCGAAGATGTGTGCAATATAATTGATTAAAAGTAGTACCAGAAATACAAGGAACAATTTTCCTTTTCTCTACATTTTAGTAATTTTCATTGAACATTCTTTAGGACAGTGGTTCCCAATTCCATTGCTTTGAACATATACTGTATTGATTTCAAATATTAGCAGATTTTGTTAAAATGATCTTTGATTCATAAGAACATCTGCAGAACTGTTCCGAAGCTTAAGATTCAAGATATCTGTAAAAAGAATAAAGTATCTGGTGAATTTTATGCTGGCTTAGACTGAAAACTCACCCCTTTGCAGATGGAAACTGCTTCTTTGGACAAGGTTTTAGAGTAGGAGACATTGTGTTCCATAATAGACTGGAAAAGTTCATCTTCATCCTCACCATCAAATGGAGGCTGAGAATAGAAAAAAAAAAAACACAGTTAATATCATATTAAAGTAAATTATTACAAACTACAAAGTCTGATAATAAATCTGTGTTTTAAAACTCGTGCAAATGTGACATTATAGAATTTACTAGAAGCATCTTAAAATATACCACGGGAAAGACAATCATTATGCCTGGACAAAGTAACCCTATCATAGTTTTTATTCGTAAAACCTTACACTGACCTGACACTTTATTAGGTACTCCTGTTTAACAACTCGTAAATATAAATATCTAATCATCTAAATCACATGGCAGTAAATCAACACTTGCAGACAAGAGGAGCATCTCAATCAGCTCCCTTGTTCAGTTGTCAGGTCTCAGTTGCAAAAATTGTTCTTATTTACTGTATTACGCTTGCTTCCTAAAAAGTCTCACAATATATAATAAAAATCATGTGTTGATGCTCACTATACAATATAGTATGTCCTCTTAACTTCATCTTCATTAAAATATACCATGAACCGGAAGCTGTGACCACTATTTTATTAGGATTGTGACGCAGTTCCTAGCTGAATGGATGTAGTAAAGTAGGCATTACATTCAGAAAGATGGATAAAAGGGTTTGGGGAGAGTTATAACAACAGAATCCTCCTTCACATCATTTCTGTTTGTTAAAACTGATTGTTAGTGCAGCATGGTTAAATATGTAAGCCATGCCCAATTTCTAAAAAAAAAAAACAAAAAAAAACTGAAAGTGCATTTTCAGATTTTAATTAAAGATTAGAAGGACAAACAATGTTTTTTAATGACATGGACAGATCAATTGGTCACCACAAAACTAGCAATGTGAGCTAACAAAAATCATATGGTTAGTTTTGATTTCTCGCGGACTTTAAGCTCTTTTTTTAAATAACCTGTTTTTGTTTATCAGGCATAAATTAATAGATTTAGACAGAACTATCTTGAAACATTAAGGCCCATCGTACAGTGCATTCGGACATGTATTAATAGTGCTTCACTTTTTCCAAATTTTTTTATGTTACAGCTTTATTCCAAAATAGATTAAATTCATGGATTTCCTCAAAATTCTACACACAATACAGCATAATGACAATTATTTAAATCTTTCAAAAATTTTTTTTTGAAATGATTGCAAATTTATTAAAAATAAAAAAGCTGAAAAAAATAACATGTACATAAGTATTCACAGCCTATGCTCAATACTTTGCTGTTGCACCTTTGGCAGCAATTACAGCCTCAATACTTTTTGAATATGATGCCACAAGCTTGGCACACCTGTCTTTGGGGATTTTTGCCCATTACTATTTGCAGTACCTCTCAAGCTCTATCGGTTGGATCGGAAGCGATAGTGTACAGCCATTTTCAGATCTCTCCAGAGATGTTCAATAGGATTTAGGTCTGGGCTCTGGCTTGACCACTCAAGGACATTCACCGAGTTGTTGTGAAGCCACTCCATTAATATTTTGGCAGTGTGTTTTGGGTCACTGTCCTGCTGGAAAAGGTCAAGAGCACTCTGAAGCAGTTATTCATTCAGGATTGTCTCTCTCTGTACATTGCTGCGTTCATCTCTCCCTCTATCCTGACTAGTCTTCCAGTTCCTGCTGTTGAAAAAAAACATTCCCACAGCATGATGCTGCCACCACCATGCTTCACTGTAGGATGGTCTTAGCTTGGTGATGAGCAGTGCCTGGTTTTCTCCAAAGAGTTTAATTTTAGTCTCATCATGTCAGGGTGACATGATGGGGAAAAGGAAGCTTATCTCTTTTCATCAATTTATTCAAACAAGCAGTTAATTAATAAACAGGAGAAGCAGGTAAGTGATAGTCTTTGTAGATGAGCAGATGGAATGTTGTTTACAATGTAAACAAGGAGCTTCAGTCAAACATATAGCATAAAGTTGCTTCCCTTTATGATAGCTTGTTTATCCACAGGTTTGGGAGAAACTACCATAGAAGAAACATTCACTGGAGAGGGAAAACATCCACGGAAGAAGGCGAGTCAGGGAGAAGGTAGGAAGAACCTGGGGAGGCTTTATAGTAGCACTGATTAAGGGAACAGGTGCAGGTGATTGGCGAGAGAGAGTGCTGATTGGGAGAGTGGGAGCAAGCCATGGGTGTGACACATCAGACCAGAGAATTCTGGCTGTTTCTCAATATGCGTTCTTCAGCGGTCTTGCGTCCTCGTGTAACGTAATCATCAGCTGCCAAAGTTCTGTTCCAATACTCAAGACTGCAAGTACGGAAGACGCGTGAAACTTCCCGGATATGAGCTTGATATCGAAGACGCACTGATGCAGACTTGAGCACCAAACTCGCTCTGGAAGTCTCAGAAGTCATTGCGACTGAAGGTACAGTAGGAAGCGCAGCATTTTATTCAGATTTATTATTAAAGTTCAGAGATATCACTTATTTACCTCAGGAGTTTCCCTAAATAAAACGTTGAAAGTAAACATTAACATGAATATCTTAATAAAGGAATAAACACATTAAGGGTGTTTGTTTGCTGAAATTCACATTAAAATTTGTTTTATTTATATTGTGACCTGGACGAGCTCACAGAGACTAACATCATACATAAGTTTCTGTGAGGAGTTATGCATCCCTACTTTCTCCATATTTTTTCCATTCACATTTGTACACAGCATCTTATAACCTATATATTTATAACAAATATGTACATACAATTCAACATCCACATTTTTTTGACTAACTGCATCTCTGTTTAATGTTCATCGTTTTTTTTCCATATTTATTTTGTGTTGTCACTTGTCACTTTATGTACAGTAGAAGCTTCTGTAGCCAAAACAAATTCCTTGAGTGTGTGAAGCATACTTGGCAATAAAACGTATTCTGATTCTGATTATGGGGTATTGTGTGTAGAATTTTGAGTAAATAAATTAATTTAATCCATTTTGAAATAAGGCTGTAACATAAAAAAATGTGGAAAAAGTGAAGCGCTTTGAATACTTTTCGGATGCACTGTACACCCACAAGACATGAATGGTATACATAAAATAGACCCTCTAGACTTAATTAATGGTTGAAATTGTTGCTGGTATGGAAACATACAATTATTTATCTTTAATGTACTTAAAAAAGTGAAAGATATCAGTTCTGCTGTTGTTTATAAATTCCAGTTGTGATCTTGTACAACAAGGACGTTTTCATATCACCATCAATGACCCAATGTTTTGTAAACTAAGCTTCTTACTGTCCTTACCAGTCCCCAAATGTGTGTACTGTACTGTACATGACATACTGACCCATGACCCTGAAAGCTATAGGAAGCTGACTGAGACCAAGGTCAAGAAGATTTTCGCTGTTATTAAAAACGAACATCAGAATGGGATAAAAAAACGAAAATTTGATTGACTTTGAACATGGCCCGGTTGCTTGTGTCAGAAGTGCTGGTCTGAGTATTTCAAAAACTGCTGATGAACTCAAATTTAATACACAGTCATCTCTGGTGTTGACATCGAATGTTTAAAAAAAAAAAAAGATTAAATATCCAGTGAGTGACAGTTTAATGGGTGAAATGGTTTTTCCCTTTTTGATCCTAGAGGTCAGATAAGAAGGGTCAGGTTGGTTCAAGCTAACACAAACAAATGTGCACTTTGAGCACCTTAGTACCAGCTGATCATTGACCAAATGGGCTTACAATGATTTCACTTAAATAGCTTCCATTCCATATCACTAGATATCAATCTAATAGACAACCTCCATCCAACAAATCTATAACAGTAGGATGACTCTGAGCAATTTTCTCAACACTATTAAGTCTTAGCCATGGATAACCGAGGCAGTTCTAAAGGCAAAAAGGTCCAACCTTGTACGAGCAAGATGTGTGAAAAAAAATCAACTTAGCACTGTTTAAACAACACGGTATTGATATACAAATATGGTACTATATTGTTTATGTTGTTTATTGAGTATTTTTTTGTTGTTTCATAAGATAGCAAGGCTATTTGAATACTTTAGTAATAGAAGAGAAGATACATTCACAGATTAAGATACACACCAAGAAGATTAGACAGAACAGGTTGTTTTGATTGTAAACGTACACCAGCTAAATGAATGAATCAACAGAACTTCATTTTTCGGACACCCATCTATACAACTGACAGACTTCACTAAAAAAGTGCAAATTATTGGATATCCAGACTATTAATAGAGAAATCAACAAAGATTAGAGATTATATGTATTGTTTAGCAAATGATATGGAATTCTCTAAAACTGACAAAAAGAGATACATTTTTATTGAGAGCTCTTCTTTGGGTATAGTAGATGGTGTCAGTATTAAACTGTACACTACCTGACAAAAGTCTTGTCGTCAATTCCAGTTGTGAAAGCAACCAATTATAACTTGACTTCTGGTTGATCATTTGGAATAGTGGGAGAAGGTATATTTTCAGATGAATCATCTGTTGAACTGCATCCTAATCATCACAAATACTGCAGAAGACCTACTGGAACTCGCATGGACCCAAGATTGTCACAGATATCAGTCAAGTTTGGTGAAGGAAAAATTATGGTTTGGGGTTACATTCAGTATGGGGGCATGCGGGAGATCTGGGGCCTCATGTACGAAGACTTGCGTGGAAATCTTACTAAAACATTGCGTACGCACAAAGCTGTAAATGCCGAATCTCACGCATATTCTTTTGTACATCTGAATTAACGTGAAACTGAGCGCAACATGCACGAGCACAAAACCCCTCCCTGCCTCCTCCACCGTATGAATATGCTAATGACAATGCTAATGGAAAAACCCAACGAAAAAGCAATGTCAAAAGCAAGCAAAAAGAGAAACTTTGAACAGAATGTGAATTGGAGGTGCTGCTTTCGGAGGTAGACCGGAGAAAAGCGGTGTTATTTGCAAGTTTGTTCTCCGGAATTAACAACAAAAGAAAAAAATAGAGTGGGAGAGTTTAGCTGATGCGGTCAACACAGTTGGGTCTGAACATCGCACTGAGTGCATAAAAAAAAGAAATAGTGTGGTTTATATCTGTAAAATGTTGCAGGACGCTTAACAGTCTCAGTGGCGCTACTCGTAAGACGCATGTGATCATGAATTGATACGTTCGAGCATGAACTCGGCTCGAGTCCAGCGTCTGATGAACACTTTCTTGTTTTTTCCCCCGCTACATATCAGATTTTGCCAACTATTTATCACGAGAAAGACAAGTAGGAATCATCAATAAGTTCATATCAATAAGCATCATATTTTATTTGCACATTTATTGAATGGAAATGTTTCTGATTCACGCATGCAAATTCATCTTCAGATAGTGTCTTTATAGCAATGTGCGTGTGGTAGATCGCTCAGATTACATTAGGAAAACAGGCGACTGCTGCAAATTGTGCTTTAATGTTTAGCTGGTCAAATGTATGGTATGGAAACCTTATATACCTGCTGAACCCGTCTCATACAGCTGCCATTGCAAGGCTCAGACACTTTGTAGAGAGGAATTTAACACAACTGCCTCTAGGAGTCGCCAATGGAAATAAAACAGACACGCACAAAAAATGTGCGTACGCCTGCCAGAAAGCTGCCGTGAAGCTGCGCACATTCCCACGTTTAGTTCATTGTTAGTAAATCCAAACGTGAGCGATTCTGAGCGTGAAACCTGGCGTACGCAAAGTTTTTGTGCGTACGCAGCATTGATACATGAGGCCCCTGCAGAGTGGATGGCAACATCAACAGCCTGAGATATCAAGACATTCGTGCTGCCCATTACATTACAAACACAGGAGAGGGCAAATTCTTTAGCAGGATAGCGCTCCTTCTCATACTTCATAGATATTTACATTAGATGTCACCTATGCTGTTGGTGTCTACTGGAAGGAATGCATCAATAGAGCCGGCATTTTAGTACAGGGGAGCACTCCTTTGAAATGAACGTGGGACCAATGTGCTGTGGAGAACTGGCCATCCAAAGCCAGAGATAAATACACGTATACACATATAACTATGATCAGGAGTTTTCCCGGTGGTCAGTATGCAAATATTTTTTTTAAATTACAAAAATGATAATTTTACATAATTTTTCTACATCAAGTAACCACATGGGCATTGCTGACAAAGAGTGTGTGTTTGTGTGCATGGAAACGTATTATCCTCCCTCTCTGTTAAATTTGATTTAATCCGTGTCCTGAAACATACCCCCTGTCCACGAAGGTGGAGTGATTCTTTTGTGAATAAATCTCCGTTATGAGCGACTCCTTCACTTACCCGAGAATAATACAAGGTTCTAGCACCGCAGCATCTCATCATATTTCATTTACATTGTTTGCTGATTTTATTTAACCAAACTAGCATAGGCCTTGTATTAGTGCAAGTTAGTGCTACTTTCCTTATAGTGCAGTAAGTGAGTCACTGTATTATCAATAATACTTAAACATATAAATCTTAAACATAAAAGATTTAAACATAAAAATCTAATAAATGAAATCTTACCTATGAAATGTTCTGCCTTTGTGCTTTGTTTTCTTTGTTTGCTCATTACTACACCCGTACACAGTGTTAAAGTCCAACATCTTCAGATTGGGTTTAGTCTTGACTAGTGCGGTTGAATGACATTTGACCTAGAAGCACTGTACAGATGTGGCAACACTATTGAAGCATGTTTAGGGTTCGTATGTGATATCTAGTGTATATATTTATGCTCATTCTTCAGCCGCCACATCAAAGTTTCTGAAAGCAAAGATGGTCATGATGCTCCAGGATTGGCCGGCTCATTCACCAGTCATGAATTTTATTGAGCATCTGGGGTACGATGGAGGAGGCACTGAAGGTGAATCCAAACACTCTTGATGAACTCTAGGAGACCTGCAAGAACACTTTCCTTGCCATTCGAGATGACTTTATTAGTAAGTTATGTGAGTCATTGCAGAGATGTTTGGATGCAGTCGTCCAAGCTCATGGGAGTCATACACAGTAATAATAATCTTAATAATAATCTTTTCCACTCAACTATGACTTTATATTCTATAATGTACATTATTTCTGTTAAGTGATAAGACTTTTGTCTTAGCAAAGTCAGACCTTACTGTCCTAATTGAATCAATAAAAATCAAGGCATGATCATATTTTATTTTGGTAAAATAAGTGCAATCTAGAGGCCTTCGCCTTTCATATAAACCACTTCTAAAACCAAATGATCAGCTAGAGGTCAAGTTATTATTTGCTGTTCCTAAAACTTGGATAGGCAACAAGACTTTTGTCAGGTAGTCGTAGCTTATGTGCTTTATATATTATAATATTTCTGTCAAAATGTTTAGTCACATTACAAATTTCGCAAACCTATTAAAAGCAAAAAATGCATATAATATGTAAGCAGAAGGTCACAGCCACCAATTTAAGATTACAATAGTTGGAAATTCATAAACTCACTTGTCCAGCCAGCATCTCATACAGAAGGACTCCATAAGCCCACCAGTCCACAGAGCGACCATATGGCTGATATGCTATTATCTGAAAACAGACAGAACAAAAAAAAAAGTTTTTTACTTTTAAACATCATTACTTTTAAAGATCAACATAATATCAACACAATGGGTTTTGCTTATTAATAATTATATGAATAATTTTTTGTGCTTAAAAAAAAATTGTCCATGCTTCCATCGTTCCCGTAATCTGGATGCAGACATCATGCACACAACATATCTGACTAATGTTGTGATCCAGTCAAAACATATAAACACCCACAAAATTAAGTGAATTGACTATGTAAGTCAAATATGTAACACAAACAAACATACATAATCTTTTTTATAAATCATAACCCAGAATTTCACACAGCTTGGCTGATGCAGTTTGTAGCACATTCAGTGTGTGTGTTTGTTTGCGACATCACGCTAACCCTATGTGACAGTTTTAGATCATGGCTGTAGCCGCTCAAGGTTTGGTTTGTGGGTTTAGATGTTGAATCTTTTTAAGTACACACGGTAATATTCACTAGGGAGAGAAAAAAAAACATCCACTAATATACAGCTGACAGTATAATGGAGGGAAACATATTTTGCTATGAGTTCAGATGTTTACCAAAACCGTAAAAGTAAACAGTTATTTTGTAAGTAGAAAAGAACTTAAACCTAAAGATGCTGTATTATTTTATTAATTTTGGTAAATGTTTAAAATAAGATTTATATTTTTTAATATTAGTTAGCCCAATGGTTCACTGTTAGTTCAAGTTCATTGACGTATACTATTCCTTTCAAAAAGAAAAAAACTGTTAAAAGTTAAAATCTGTTAAATTGTTAAAAAAAGGCAACAAAAAACAAAAAAAAATGAAAAACCTGCATTTTATACAGTGTAGAGATATGTTGCTCACAATTATTAATTTATAAAACACTCAAACCCTTCACTAATGTTTAAAGAGGTTAAAGAGTGACCTTATTTTGGTGGCATATGTCATGAGCTGTAATTTTAAGCTTATTTAAAGCTTATTTTAAGAATAAAAAACAAATGTTTAACTTGTATATGGTTAGTCATGTGTGTAACTGCTGTTCTACCTTTGACATACTTTACACTCAAATTAACATGCAGTTACATGCCCCCAGATAACTTGCATTACCACTGCATAATATGTAGGTCAGTCAGAGAAAGAGACCAAAAGAGAGAGAGAGCGAGTGAGTGAGTGAGAAAGAGTGATGCTTTGGGGAAAAAAAGGTGAAGGGCCAAAGACCACAGTGTATATATAAGATATATGTTAAAGGAAAAAGAACTAATGGTCTGTAAATATGTGAATGTGTGTACAAATTCAGTTTGAAAATCCCACTTTAAATAACGGCACTTAGAATAACATGTCTATATTTTTGTGATTCTTACATAGTAAATCGTAAGTTTGATTTGAAGTAGAATTTTTTTTAAAAGATAATTTACAATGATTATTCCTGATTCCAACACAAACCCATTTTTCAGGAAGTAAAGCCGCTGCGCTCCATTTTATTTTTAGTTGTCTTATTTTATATTCATAAGCTTATTTTGCAATATCAAAGTCCATTGATACATCCAAGATTAATTAATAGATTTTCTGATCTGAGTAATATCACATGAGTAGCAGTGTGATATGGCTGTATATCGGCACTGGTGGAGGTGTGCGTTGGCTTGAGGCCACAGGCAGACTGCCTTAGTGCCCCACAAGAGACGATATACAGCCATATCGTATGGCTACGAGTGTAATATTGTGTTTATACAACAGTTCGATAGCATAATCAGGTGTATAAAAAGCTAATTCAAACACATAGAATCTAAAGAAAATTTTGTATGAGCAACTACTTTCTTCCATCATTCAATCACATCTTCAGCTGACTTCAGAACAGTGGAAACCGTTGCTACTTCACACACTTTAGTATTTAAATGATTCTTTAGCGTAATGTCTAAAGTGATGACAAAACAGGTGCTTTTGCTAACATTTTAAAATTATAAGGCTGAATGGCTGCATGAAATGCCATCAGTCTACAGAGTTTTTCTAGTGTTTTTCTCTGTTGTAATTGAGACATCACAATAATTAACCCAGAAAAAGCCAAAGCAGTGCAAACATTACCATATTACTGTTGTGTTTGAGATAGGGAAAAACGCTAAACACATGCAGGATTTTCTTGTTTCTTTTTACTGAACTAGTCTGCAGTAACCAAAATAGCAGACTCATTAGAAACAAACAGCTGGCCAACCATAAAGTAACCCAGGGTTATACAAAAGTGACCAATACAAAATACATCCATTCCTGATACGCGAGTCCCATCTCACACTCAATACACTTAAATAAATAGTATAAATACAACACCGCAACATAAAAAAGAGAGAAATCAACTTTGAATGCCACTTACCAGTTTTCTAATGATTTGATCAGCTGTAATTTGAAATTAGTTTTTCTCCTTGAAAGGCTTATTATGCGGTCACCATCTTGTGGATTGACAACATCAACCGTCTTTGTTCTGCTCAGTATGACAAGCTTATGGATGCCAATGTGCTGTATTATAAATATTTAAAATAGGCACTATCCTTATAAATAAAATGCATGGTTGCAATTTAAACAACTACATTCTCACCTATAAAAGCCTATAAAGTACATTATGTTGTCCAACAGCTGCAATATTTGTCAAACTGTAGAGAGTTTATTGATCTGCTGTCACTTTATAAGAGATGGAGTAATACAGAAGGGCGACGAGGCTGTACGAGTGCTGATATTGCAGAATATCACACAGCTATCAGCCAATCAGATTCGAGAACCAAACAAAACTGTTGTATAAACCAAAATATTATTTAATATCAAAGGTGCAAACATGGCCTTCATGAGAGTCTGGGCAGAAACATTAACTGCATTTAATCTGGCACCAAACTTTGTCAGTTATGCTGAATTGGTTAGTTGGGATTTTTTTTTTCTGGTAGAATAGAGATGAAAAGTATTTGCTTTTGAGTGAGTGGAGACATCTTTTGTTTTTCTAAAACCTTTCTTTAGGAGAGAACTCTGCCTGTTATGTCACACTAGTGCATCTGAAGTGTGTGGAGCAGAAGAAAAATCTGAGAGATGTCTGAGAGAAAGAGAGAGCAAGAGAGTTACTGTGAGTTTGTGTCTGAGGATGTCACAGCAGATTAGGGTCATCAAAATAAAGTGTGGAAGGGCAAGATATAACTTGTTTTATAAAAGAGCGTGTGTGACATAAGGACAAAACAGCTGCCACTTGTGAATGCATCCTCATGTTAGAGAGCGCTCTGGGAAGTGAAGTTGAAAAAGGAGCTTCAGCAGAGATAAACAGGAAAAAGGAAACACAAACAAGGATCTTTTTTTAATGATGAAAAGATTGGTACTGAGAAAGAAGATGGAAAAAATGTAGTAGGATTCAAAAAATACTGAAATAGTGAGCTGCTACAACAGTTTCAGTAAGGAATTTTCAATAATTACAATGGACACATTTCGTTGATAAAAAAAAAACAAATTTCCATAATTACTGACATCATACTTTTAGAAATTATTTATTAATTTATAGAAAAAATGAAGGACATTTATAACATTAAACGTTTTGTTATATTACTGTACATCATCATTAAATGACAGAAAACTGGTTTCTAATAAGGGAGTAAGGCAAATCAGGCAACTTTCTCTCTTTGCTATTGAGGAATTTTTATTTACTACTGGAGCAAACAGGAAAACCAAAATTATATAGGAGAAGCAAAAAGTATTAAGGAAATGAATTTGACCAAATTTCAGAAGATGCATCACAGAATATAGTAGTCACAATTTACAAGTATTTACAGAAAGAATAATTATATTAACAATCTTATAGTGTTTATTAAAAAGCATTGCAATATACTGGAATTGAATCGAAACCCTACTAATTGAGAGTCAACAAAACCCATATAATAAATGACCCATAAATAATCTAGGGCTCTAACATACACCCAGCGCAGTAAAGGGCAAGACGTACATGGTGTTATTTGTTCTTATTTTCAGAACAGCGCAACCCTAAATTTCATGTTTTCTGCCACGTTGTTTAAATAGCAAATCTATTTGCGCCACTTTGTGGACTTATGGTTGTTCTGGTCTAAACAGGAGGTGTGTTAAGGCGCATTGTTGATGCGTTGCTATTTTGAGGACCTGAAATAGACTGCGTTGTTGACCAACTAAAAGCTGGTCTAAAGTCCAGTGCAGAGCACGTCAGTTATTCGCCTATACGGTCCAAATGCTTACACAGAATGTACAGCAATACACAAAAATCTTTACATATGAAAAAAATTAAAGATTAAAATGGTAAAAAAAATATTATTTTCTACATAAATATAAAAAACACTGCCTCACTTCCTACTCATTTCAGGGGGCTATTTTCAGTACATTCATGACAATGTGCATTTATATAATGTTATTATTAATAGCAGTATTATTTACGATATGCATATTTATGTTTGCTTTAATAAAAACTACTTTAGATTTGTCCACAACACATTTCGTTATTATTGTTCATTTATTTGTTTGCTGAAATTAGATCTGAATTTAGAAATAGTTTTAAAACAAACTAAATTAAATGTGTAGGCTAATGGATGAGTGCATAAAACACCGTTTCCTTATCTACGAAAGTAAAGCAGCAAATTAAAAAGACAGTAAAGAGGATGAATGAAGGAGGCTCGTTCTTTATCCTCATGTTGCATATGGTTTGTTTAACTGTTTTCTGACTAGTGAAGCATTCGTTTTTTCCACTTACAAAGTCCGCCATGTAAATAGCAAATGTGTCATAGCGCAACGCAACTGACTCAAGAAGAATGTGAGATGAGACTCTGATTTGTTAAATACACTTTATGCTCAAAACACACCCATAACTCAGTAAGAGAATTAGCACAACCATGTTAGACCATGCGAATGGGTGCAGAGCGTATTTTTCCATCCTTTAATAGCAAAAGTGGATTCGGACAAGAACCCTAATACTTTCGCGCAGGCACGTGCACACATAGGGCTCAACCTGTGCTCTGCACATGCCCTTTTTAGTCTTGGATAGAAAGTGCCCTTCCAAAATGATCAAAAGTGCCCCCGCGACGAGACACACCCTCGGTCCCGCCCTTCAGTAGGCGCGCGACAACACAGCTGCATGCCCTTAGGACGGTCTCTGCACGGGCCTGCTTTCGCGCCATGTGCTTTAGACTTTGCGCTTAGATTGTTAAAATAGAGCCCCTAGTGTCAGCAGCATTATGGAGTCTTTGTAAGGTGATTGTGAAGTCTTTAAGAAATCACATTATTACCAGACTCAATCAACTAAAAGAATGTCTATGGTGGATCTAGAATCTACAGTAACTCACCATTTTAGAGAAATTCCCACTTTGCATTTGAATTTTGACAGAACAAATATTAAAATATTAAGAGGGTGATATGGAATATAAATATGTAAACATATACAATTAAATAACACTGTAGATTGCCAAAACAGTTAAACATAGATGTAGAATAGAGAATAAAAAGCTATAACAATTTGGAACATGTCAGGCAGGCAGGAGAATATTGATAGAATGCTGGTATAGTTTAAGTTACATTTAAACCGATTCAGTTTGGGTAAGTATTTAGAAAATGTGAATGAATATTTAGTCTCTGAATTGTTTAGCTATGAAGAAAGAATGGGTATTAGTTAGTTCGTTTTTATTAAAGAATATTTCCTTAGTGTTTCTGTTTTTACAGTTTCACTGAGTATACAATAAGTCACCCGAAGAGGCAGATTCAGGATATGTTGGACTCAGGGGAGCCGACAGATACTGTCTCCCTCTTTAGCCACTGATAAGGCTGTTTGACATAGTGACAAACAGTGTTTGCTTTAAACACTGCTGCTAGACACATTAACATTCACACTGGTGGTCAGTCTGGCAGGACACACTCCGCCACTCACCTCTGGAGCGATGTAGTCTGGCGTTCCACAAAATGTACGGGTGGTCACACCCTCCACAATGTTCTCCTTGCACATACCAAAGTCAGCAATCTTAATATGACCCTCTGCGTCCAGCATAACATTATCTAATTTTAGGTCTCTGAAAGAAATATAAATAACACAGCAGTTCAATATCATAGACCGATTGTTACTGAAAACAGGAAGGACATAGTTTACAAACAACAACAACAACAAAAAACCCATAACAAAGCAAAGTAAAAAGAAAAAGTTACTATTAAAGAGTTACTATTCAATTTAATTTTTATTTGAAGGATTTTAGACAAACTGTTCAAAAATACAAGTATCCCATACATTTTGAAATAAAACTGTCAAGGATAAAAACACAATAAAGCCCTGGGCTTGTTTCCATTGTAATCAGCTTTTTTCTTTTACAGAAGATGAAACAAACACTGAGAAATGCTGGTAACCAAACATTTCTAGTTACTATTTCATATTTCAAAGTTTTAAAATGTCAAAATTTTGAAGGAAACCTTTATTTTATGTTTTTTTTTTATTTAACACAAAAAAAGCTTTTCACTTTCTTTGGGTGGTAATTCATTCATTTATTCATTAATTCATTTTCTTTTTGGCTTAGTCCCTTTATTAATCTGGGGTCGCCACAGCGGAATGAACAGCCAACTAATCCAGCATGTTTTACACAGCTGATGCCCTTCTAGCCGCAACCCAACGCTGTGAAACACCCACACGCTCTTGCACACACTCACATACCCTATGGACAATTTAGCTCATTCAATTCACCTACTGTATACCTCATGTCTTTGGATAGTGGGGGAAACCGGAGCACCTGGAGAAAACCCACACGAACACAGGGAGAACATGCAAACTCCACACAGAAATGCCAACTGACCCAGCAGGGGCTCGAACCAGCGACCTTCTTGTCAAGTCCAAAGACATGCGCTATAGGTGAATTGAATATGCTAAATTGTCTGCAGTATATGGTCAAAGAATGTATGAGTGTTTCCCAGTGATGGGTTGACGCTGGAATGGCATCCGCTGTGTAAAACATATGCTGGATAAGTTGGCGGTTCATTCGGCTGTGGTGACCCCTGATTAATAAAGGGGCTAAGTCAAAAAGAAAATGAATTAATGAATCAATTTGTTGAAAATTTTTTATTTCCAACCAAATACACAAACAATTCCATTGACTACAGAACCACTATTGTCCAATGACTTTACTAATTAATCTATGTTGCCTAGTTAACGTAGTAAATCTAGGTAAGCTATTAAATTGTACTTTAAGCTTTAAATTTTCTAGTGTCTACAAACTAAAATACTAGCATTATATTTTTAACATTTGTTGAACAAATCACTCTGTTAAACAGTACTTGAAAAACATTAATAAAAGGAATACACATTTTACAAGAGGGCTAAGATTTTTACTTGAACTGTAATTGTTAAAAACGTTTTTTTGTTGCTTTTTTGTTATATGAGCATAACTAATATGTAATTAATTTTGGTAAATCTAAAAGCAATTGAAGTGGATTTAGTTTTTTTCTCTGGAAACAAGGACTCTGTCTCTCTCATTCCTGCTGACGTCAGTTCATCTGTTTGCTCTATTTCCCTAGGCCAGTTCAGTCGTTCAAAGAAAAACAAGCCAAATAACTAGGCTTAGCTCCTAAAGAGAGGCAGAATTAAACAAATTGCTTGTTGAAGGTTTTTTTTTTTAAAACATTTTTTGAAAGGAGACAAACCATTAAGTTTTTTTTTTTTTTTACAAATATGGCAACATGACCTTTTTGTTTGATCTTTTCAAGCATTAGAGACACAGATGACCTTTACTTTAACAATTACAATAAAAAAGCATTTAGTTAAAAAAAGCTAACCCAGATTTTGCAGTTTATTTCAAATAAATATATGTTTTTTACATTTTTGTTATATAGACTATAGGTATTATGCCTTAATCTTAATTATCATCTCCTAGTGATTGCAGTCAAACTAATTGCAACTGTCTAAACATTAAAGGGGTGGTCCACTACGATATCATATTTTAAACTTTAGATGGTGTGTATTGTAGCTGTGTGAACATAAACAACATCTCTGAATGTAAAAAAAAAGTTCAATGCAAAGGGAGACCTTGGTTTTTACCTTTGGTTTTTAGTTAGCTTAGCAAAGCCTACAATGAATGAGTTTTGGGGACTACAAAAAAATACTTCTTGGCCTTGTGAGATCACAAACGTACGTTAACCGCGCGCACACACTGCGCAGCTAAGGGCCGTGGCCAGAGGTGCTGTAATGTTGTAGCGGAAATAGAGCTAAAATGCCTCCAAACGCTGCTATTTTCACATAGCTTCTTCCGTTTCTGTATTTAGACTTCTTAAGGACACGACACAAAGACAGAGGTGCTTACAGTTCAATATTAATTATGTTCCAGAGAATTATAAAATACATAGCAAGCATGATTTGACAAAACACAGCTCCAGAATCTCTCCCAGTTCAGTGCTGGATTCATTTAAAATCTCCTCAAATCACAAAATTTCATTCATCCTCTGCTGCTCAACTGATGCACTCGCATCGTGCACGCGCATGACCGCGTATCGATACATATCGGTTAATCTTCCCATCCCTAATGGAGATGATTCATATTATTTACACCTGCATATTCCGGATATATGTGAAAGATGTTGTTAAATGCGTTGAGTTAAAAAAAATACAGGAGAGCTCGCCTTATGTAGAAGCAGAAAAATAAATCAAGGCTCATAGAGGTCGCATCCCACATCTTGTGCTTTATTCTTCTGTCAACACTGTCACGATATAGCAGATTGCAGAAAATAACTTAATCTGAGCATCAGAGAAAAAGAAAGTCACGCGCACATGTTACACATGTCTTTAGAAAGTTCACACATTCACACACACACACATATGCAATAGTGATGTCTCTTAAATAAGCAGCACCCCATTTTCACTGGTTACAGACACTTGTCAGATTTTATTTTAGAGAGCAGGCAGGAGACTGACTGTTTACTCAGCAGAAAAGCACGTGCTGTACGAGTGTTACGAGGAGCCCATCCGCGAATCTCAGCACATTATGACGATGACCAATCAGAGTCACTTGAGGGCGGGTCTTTCAGAGGAACTAAGAAATATGACAGCCGTTTTCATGTTAGCTGAGTAGCTGTATATAATCAAAGTGAGATTTATGAAAAAATAACGTGATTTCCTTCAAGTGAAACATGTGCACACATTGCTTTGCATCTTATAAACACAACCAAGCCTTAAAATTACATTCTGGACCACCCCTTTAAATCTATTGAAAAAAAAAAAGATCTAAATGTGCATTATATGTGTTCACCTGTATATAATTCCTTTCTTGTGCAAGAAGAAGAGCCCAACAGCAATCTCTGCAGCATAGAACCTGCAAACCCAAAGTAGATTATTTCACATAAGTTAGTCAATAAACAGAAATAAGGTGATGTAAATCTTAAACAAAAACCACAGACACGATACACCTGTAAATAAAAACAACAAGAGAATCACTTACACAGCCTGGGGCTCCTTAAATTTGCCTACTTGCTGGATGTGATACATAAGATCACCACCATTAACATACTCCATCACAAAATACAGGCGATCCTATGATAAAAACACATCAAAAATAACATTTATGAAACTTTTAATTTCAACGCTGCTCTTGTGTGATAAGCTTTGTCTAAAAGTTTGTTTATTGTATCAGAACTTATTCAAAATTATTTTGAGCTGTATCTTAGTGATTACTAAACAGATCTCCAAGGCTGAAGTTAACAAGAGTAAACAAAGTTTGCTCTTGATCGTCATACAAGTGTGTTCATGTTACGATACAATTCAATAAGCTTTGTTCCTACTAGGGCTGCACCGTATTGTTGTTGACATTACGATAACGGTATTTCTTGCGATAAAATTTCCCACAGAGAAACTACATTTTTGTTAAGATTACAAAAGAATTATATATTTGATTATGATTGATTATACTAAAATATTTCAAACATATAAAATATTAAACATACAAAAATGTTTTTAAATCCAAAAAAAAGCTGTCAAGGAAGGTGCAAACATAGTGACTTTAAAACACAGTGAATGACTAAAATTCTCAGTCGATATTTCGATTTTTGGTTTGATTTTACCATAGGCATGTAAACAAAATGCAGTACTCTCAAACATTTATTTTTTCAATTGCATGTAACCGCACAGCATCTTAAAATTAGAGAATCTTTTAGGGAAAATATTTTCTTGGCTGTATATATATATATATATATATATATATATATATATATATATATATATATATATATATATATATATATATATAAATAAATAAATAAAATATACAAACATTAAATAATTAGTATGTAATGGAGATACTAACATCTTGTCAACATCCACATAAATGAAGCAAAAAAGTATTAACTTGTAAACACTATTAACATGTAGGGACGCAACGATATAACATTTGATTATTTGACGTGCAGTCACATGCTTCCACAGCTCTAGTCAATAGCAAAACAGCACGAATGTGGGAGATGGGTATAAAGATATTAAGGACCCATCTGATTGGACAAATTTAGACAGAGATTGTTCAAATTTGATGGATCAGATGTGTCCCTAATATATAGCATGCAACAATAATGCTTGGCACATAAAATATAATCAGGTTAGTGCAGCTCTCTGGCGATATGGATATCAAATATACTATTATTGCGACAGCGATAATTCTTCAATATATCATGCAGCCCTAGTTCATACACATATTTCTTTAAAAGGACTGCACACATGCTAGATTAGTGTTAAACACTAATCACTGCAATATAGTAAATAAAATACATAAATACAATCAGAGTGACTGATCATTACACACTATATGATTTTCAGCCAAATCTGTCAACTCCAACTGACTACAAATCATTTTAGATTGCAAATTGTTTGATTTCGAGCTTTATTCTAATGCTATTCTAATTTTTTAATTATTCTATTTTTTCATGCTAAAATATTTATCTAAATAACTTTATTAATATCATTTAAATTCACAAAAGTACATGCATGATTAAACATTTTATAATGTTAAACATTTAAGTTATTGTATTTTTATGCTTTTATTGGCCTTTTAATAGTAAATATGAATGCAAGGCATCACTAGAGAAAAGATTAGTTCTTGGCCGTATGTAATTTTGTCCTCTATGATAACAACAGCTGTATAATCCCCTCACCATAAGAGGTCGCTATTGTCAAAAAAGAGTTTTTGTTTGCTTTCTTTTGATCAGTTTGCTCATCTATTTCATTTAGTGTTTTTCACGTTCCAATTATAAAGTTACACTATACTGTTGGTTTGAATTCTAGATAGGGTTATACATATTTTTTGTCGTTTATTAATAATAAAAATTTATTCCAATTTATTTATATGTTCTATGCATAAACTAAATGTGTGTATTACAATTCAGTGTATACTGTACGTTTGATGTAAATCCATCTTTTTTTTGTGTCTATATTTGGAAATTTTATAAACAGTACATTCCATGACTGTGGTATTTGCCTTTCCATGTTTTTTATGCTAACACTGTACACCAGAGGAGAAATCCTTGGTTTTATTAAATGCAAAGACGTTCGTACATTAAAATTCTATGGGTGACTTTTGTCTAAATCCTTGCAACTATATGATGTCTATAGATTCCAATACCAAAGCACATTACCATAAAAAAAATCAACATTATTTATATTAGTATTTATTATTATGCATATTCAATCCTTCTAAGGCATTCTGATTTGCTAAAAGGCGGATGTTTGGTATGCCGTGCCATTAGTGGGATTACCATTTAGCCCGCAGCCAAAATGATGTCTAACAGAGGCTTCTGTTTGTTTTCAAAGCTGGCAGTTGTGGCTGGCTAGATTCTTCCGCCCTTGCTTGTCAGAATTGAAATGTATTCAAGAAGTTTATTTTAAACACAAAGAAAACAATTCAGTAATTTCTAATAAGATTGATATCTAATAATGACTATATATAATATATACACATTTTTTATATAGACTATGCAATCAAACATTATTAAAGTGTCTATGCATGATTTTTCATGGTGTGAGTTTCTAACCACAGTCTGGAAGCAGGAATGAAGCTGGGTGAGGAATGGAGGCTTGTCCTGCTGAGCCAGAACTCGCTTCTCCACCATGGTGCATTCAACATCGTCATCCTGGATGACCACATCCTTCTTCAGGATTTTTATAGCAAATAGTTCATCAGAAGACTTCATCTCTGCCAGCATGACCTGCGTAAGCAGACAACAAAAACTTACACTATCAGCAGTGAGGACCTTTAGCAAACTAATACCATACACTTTTCACTGAGGCGAAAAAAACTTGGTCGTATACACAGTACCACCTATATATTGTACTTCTCTTTCCTCATGTAATTACAATACTTTACTCCTGTCATTTCACTGAATTCTTCATAACTTAATTATTAAACTAACTGGGTTTAATTTAATTGTATGTATGGATTACCTCGGTTGTTACCGACATCTGGTGAAAAGTTCAAATAAACAGCACCATTAGAAATATAGTTGAAGTCAGAATCATTAACACCCCTTGATTTTTTTTTATATTTCCCTAATGAGGTTTAAAAAGCGAGGAGATTTTCACAGTATGTCTGATAATATTTTTTCTTCTGTAGGTAAAATTTAAGGTAAAATTACTAGCCCCTTATGGCTATATATATATATATATATATATATATATATATATATATATATATATATATATATATATATATATATATATATATATATATATTTTTTTTTTTTTGATAGTCTAGAGAACAAACCATTGTTATAAAATAACTTGCCTTTTGACCCTAACCTGCCTAGTTAACCCTTTAAATGTCTCTTTAAGCTGTAGAAGTATCTTGAAAAAATATCTTGTAAAATATTATTTACTATCATCATGGCAAAGATAAAATAAATCAGTTATTAGAGAGGTTAAAACTATTATATTTAGAAATGTGTTGAAAAATATCTTCTCTCTGTTAAACAGAAATTGGTGAAAATAATAAACTGGGGCTAATAATTCAGGGTGGCTATTAATTCTGACTTTAACTGTAGATTTGTCTAAGCATATTATAAAAGAAAAATGGTGACATGTTCAATACTGTTTTTTTACCTTCTTTATCTTTCAGATCATCAAACTAATTTATTAATTTAATTTAAAGTTTTTTTTATTACACATCATGCACTTTTGAAATGAAAGTACATAGCGTGGCCCTATGTGAAAAAGTGTTTAACCTCTAAACCTAATAACCGGTTAAGCCACACATAGCAGCAACAACTACAATCAAGCTTTTTCAATAACTTACAATGAGTCTGTTACAGTGCTGCGGATGAATTTTGACCCACTTGTCTTTGCAGAATTGTTGGTGGGTTTTCTTTTTGAATGTTATGCCACAGCATCTTAATTGGATTCAGGTCAGGACCTAGACTAGGCCACTCCAAAGACTTAATTTTGTTTTTCTACAGCCATTGATAAGTGGACTTGCTGGTGTGGTTTGGATCATTGTCTTGCTGCACGACCTAAGTTTGGTTTAGCTTGAGGTCACTAACATATGACCGGAAATTCTGCTTCTAGATATTTCGCTAAACAGCAGCATTCATGGACCCATTTATCCCAGCAAGTTTTCGAGATCCTAAAGAATCAAAATAGCCCCAGAGCATTACACTACCACCACCACATTTGACTGTTGGCATGGTAGTCTTTTTTTTTATTTTTATAAATACAGTGTTCAACTTCTGTCAGTCCACAGAGTATTTTCACAAATTATGTCTAGCTTTTGAGAATGTTTTGGTACATGTATATGTGTGTAACAACTGGTAACATATATTGTAACCTGCATTCTGAAGGTAATCACTCCATTTAACATTTCATGAAAATGGTCTGGGTTTAATCTCCAGGACAATTCAAATCACTTGGTGACGAAAAGTCTGGCTTAGAAATCCCTGGTGACATGTTAACGAGTCTGGGAGACTTCACAGAACCGTTCTAAACCACTCTCTGCCAGCTTCAAAAGAACATGGCAGATAAGAAAACATCCTTAGTCAGCGTTCTACTCACAGACAAAAGACTTTCCTCAAAAATTAAACAAAGACATTTAGAACCCAAATCTCTTGTTTAATTACATTTAACTTTTGTAATGTGTACAATCTCTGATATAGACTATACACATTCGTACTTTCAGGCCTTTTTAAAAGCATCAATGATGTAAGGATATGGGAATTATGCTGATGTACTTTTAATGTTGATGTACTTGTAGAGTGTTTGGTGTCAATAGAATGCCCTGGACATTTTACAACACATGATGCATAGAGCATGATAATAAAGTGCACGGCCTGCATTTTTTTAATGCCCTGAGATAAAAACCGTCCTTAGGCTGCGGGAGGACCCAAAATTTGCATACGAACAGCCTAGAGACAAAGAGAGGATTTCGCGCTCAAACTTTGTCCTGAAATCATTGGTCGAGAATGCTGAACGGGTCGTCACGTGACCCGCAGGTACAACTCATTCTGCCCCACCCCAACATCTGGGCAGAATCAGAAAGAAACCCTCCGGTAAACTTCTCCGCAGAGGACCTTCTTCTGTCCTCGTTTCTTTGTTTTCCGACTTTTGAACTCAGTTTAATCTCGCGCCTTGTGGGACCATTCAACTTGGACCAAGCTGAACCGGACACACAAACTCCTACCGAATCTCTGACGTCCCCCGCGCATCAGCCAAAGCTTGCACGACACGAGAGAGAGTAAATGCAAGTATATTTTTCATATGCGTTTTAAGCTGTGCCCCTTTTTTTTAAGGTGTTTATGATCAACTGGTGATTCTCGTTATGTGTGGGTGAACTGAGCGAAATTGTCATTCTGTATCTAATTTCTGTATTTCCTCGCTTTTCTGTCTCTTTCTGTTTTGTTATATGTTCCATATATCCGTTTATAGCCAATTTAGAATTAGTATACGTTTGTCTGTTATATGTTATGCCAATATATTCCTATACTCAGATTACGTTTGTTTGATATGTGTTAGATTAGTCAATAAACCTTATTATAACCGAATTGGATTGTTTTTGTTTGCCTCACAGAAAGAGTCACTGAAATGATAGATCCTTTGCTACCGGCTGCTATTTAAGTTAATCAAAACTTATGAATGATTAAGCTACCTCACAAGGAGTAGTAAGAATTCCCTTTCTAAATAAATATACCCGTACGGAGTCTGCTTAGACGAGCGGTGAGGTCTGGGTATATTTATTTGGTCAAATTAACAATAAGTTAATGCAGAATATTAATGATTAACAATAATTCGTTATTGTTGATAATTAATATTCATAATCTGAGAGTCCGCTCGGCCGAGTGGCGGGATCAGATACAATTATATATTTGTTTAACCCAATTGACCAAAGGTTAAACCTGAATGTTAATATTTCATAATAACTCGTTATTGATTATTAATATTCATAAACTAAGCTACTTTCGCTACATGTGTATATTCACTTTGTCAGGCAGTCATAATTAAGAGATTTCTTGATTATGAACAGGTGTGGCAGTAATCAGGCCTGGGTGTGGCTAGAGAAATTGAACTCAGGAGTGATAAACTAGAATTAAGCTAAGTTTTAACAGTGGGGGTTGGAAGTGCAAACGTTTTTTACACAGAACGATGTCGTTTTGTATTTAGCTTTCCCATGAGAATATAAAGAGTTTAAAAGAGGACAAACAGCACTTTATGAACTTAACTTTATTTATATCAACAGTAAATAAAGAGCAGTGTGTCGTTAGTATTATTACTATAATAATTGGTAAGTACATGGAAACTCACCTTTCCAAAGCTGCCTTTTCCAAGTACTGCCAGGAAATTAAAATCTGAGAGCCTGACATTGTCCACATTGCTGGAAGTTATGCTGGACCCACTGTCATCCAAAGCGGTAATGTTTTTTTTGGGAGGACCCAATTTGGCTATCTGCACACAGACAAACAATAATTTTATTAACAAACTAAAAAAAAAAAAGGAACTGAAAAGTTCAGATGCTTGAAAAATGGTAATAATTCATTGGGAAACCCATATGCAAGTGCTGATAATGAAGTTGGAACATGTTTTCTGAAAAATATAAGGCATGAATAGACCTTAGTCAGGATAGATTACATAATAATAATAATAATAATAATAATAATTATTATTATTATTATTACTATTGTTTGAATACAAATAAGGGTGTCTCAACAATACATTTTAATGTGGCTACATTTTCAACTCACTAATTTCTTTGTGACAAGCTGTCAAATCACATTTATCAGAAGTCTACCCAGACTGAGGTCTGTCAATCTTTAGAGTTGCAGCCAAAGAAAGCACAATGCACTCTTTGTATCATCATTTAAATTTCCTGCCTGTGTCCTTAAACACAAACCATACATAAGTTTGATTCAAAAGTTCGCTTCCTGCTTAGTTTTGGGTAGTGTCCATGCAGTTTTCTAAGCCGAATAAAATTCTCTCAATCGCAACATGCAGAAGTCAGTCAACGGGCCAAGATTCTCTGCCAAGCTAGACTAGGCAGCCTTGAGCTCAAACTATAACATCAGCACACAATAGACTTTTATTTAATATCTGATTTCAGCTACAGTACTGTATTTCTTTCTTTTTCCTTTAGATGAAACCTCCAAATAAAGCCAGTAACATAGTTAGAAACTTTTTTTTTACCCTATTATAAGCCTACCAATGACTTAATTCCCTGGCAAAGCTGGTGAATCACTCAAACCCAAGAAAGCCCATGCATTCACAATACCAACATTATTGGACAAGTAAGTTTATGAACGCGATAGTGAAAACATTGGTTGGAACATCTAAGATGAGAGTAAGCAGGAACACCAGAGAAAAAAATTGAAGTCCTTCTATAAGGCTTTTATAATCACGTTCTGAAGTTGAAAATAGTCGTCAACTTCATTGCTTTAAGCAGTCCTTCAATTCTGTGCTTAAGAATTACAGAAAATAAAAGCTGGCACACCAGGTACAGTGGAGTGTTTAGGTGCCTACATGTAGATTGCTTAGGCGAGCACTTTAAGACTATGTAGCTACGATGAACATAATGCACAGTGTGTCTACTGTGGGACATACCAAATGAGTAAAACCCCAGTCCATCAAAGGCACTAACCTGAGGTGTTGATACTCACAGTGAGTGTATGTGATTCGGGATTTAATAAGGATAAAGATATTGCTCTTTGAACGTCCAACTTAAAATGAAGAGTTCAGATGGAAAAGCCTCTAAGAAGATTTCTGCCAAAATCATCATTTTTTTCTCAGGTTTCAGTGTGTGGGTTCAGTCATTTAATTTTTATGGTAAAGAATTAGTCATTTTCATTGCATTTAAAGTGAAATAACTGAACCTTCCATACTGTTTCAATAAAAACATGGCTGTATTCTATATCATGCACTCTCTGGGTGCTGAAAAGCCCTGCAGGTCATATGACAGGTCATTCATCCAAGCAGTTTCCCTGCCTTTGAAAATGCAGGAATAGTACTATATGACCCTCAAGGGCTTTGGGGTATGGATGCTAGATACATATGATATAAAATGTAGCCTTAATTTCTTCTAACCAGTCAAAGGTAATGATTTGTTCTTTTTTTGAGAAATAAGAATTTGTTGCACGTTTGCCTGAGGTGCATAGACGTGTATGGTCAAAAGTACAATCATATTCTCACTGGCCACTTTATTAGGCAAAACTGACTAAAAGCAGGTTAGACCCCATTTTATTTTTTTAAACTTCTATTTTACCAGAAAAAACTAACAAACAAAACAAAACAAAAAAAAAAACATTTAGTTTTGCAATCTCCTTTTCAGGAGTGTCTCTTCAGAACTGGCTTAAAGGGATAGTTCACCCCAAAAATGAAAATGTGCTCACTATTTACTCACCCTCAAGTGGTTCCGAAGCTTATGAGTTTCTTTCATTTGTTTAACAATAAAGAAAAGATTTTGAAGAAAGAAAAAAATCTGTATTTATTGACTTATTGACAATAGTGAAAAAAAACAAATACTATGGATGTCAATAGTTACAGGTTTCCAACATTTTTCAAAATATCTTATTTTGTGTTCAGCAGAATGAAGAAACTCGTGAAGGTTTGAAATGAGTAAATTGTGAATAAATGATGACAGAATATTCATTTTTTGGGTGAACTATTCCTTTAACACTTCATGACATTGATGCAACAAGGTATAGGAAATGTTCAGAGATCTTGGTCCTTGGACATCTGGAATCATCAAGTTGTTTTTAGTATCATAGAACTGCCACACACTGCATATGCTCTCATATTCAGACTGTTCTCTAAAAAACCTAAATAAGGTTTTGCAAGGAAATCCAAGACAATCAGCAGTTTCTGAAATGCTCAGACCAGCCAATCTGGAACCAACAACCATGCCATGTCAAATAAATCACATTTACATCATTGTCTCATTATATATTTGCATTAACAAGCAGTGGATCATACTGTGTATACTCAATACACAACCACCTGTAATATGCCTACAACACCCCTTTTTCAGAAATTGTTAACAATTTATGCACACATTTATGTCTCTGCCCTGAAAGCACACAACAAATTTTTTTGCAAGAATTTTTCCACATTCTCAAGTATTTCAAGACGAAGCTAGATTAATGTAGCGACCATTTCATAAAAAAACAGAAGTGATGCAGATGAACCGGACACAAAACCAGCCAGCCAGCCAATCAACACACATAACTTCACTCTGCTGCTGACACGCACCTGCTCAAGGTCCTCTAATGTCTCATCCTGAAACCATATGACAGTGATAAACAAAGATATACAGTACATGCAAACATGCAACCCACATAAGTGAAGAGGAACAAATAATATTTCTCTAATCTTCCCACCCAAGGTAAAGGGCATTTATCTTGGACAAAGTCTAACTATTCAGTACTGTATATGGGTACAAGTGAGAAAGCCTGGGTTAATGGGCGTCTCATTTGCCAACACTCAAGAACTATCTTCTGATTGGGGGTTTCTCACCTGCCGACTGTTTTGATGACATCTTACTCTCTTCAGTCGGAGTTCTGTCAAACAAACTGATTAAAACGATAGAGGGGTTTCATAATAAACAGCTGCCTTTGAATTTTTGGAAATTAATAAAAGAAAGAAGCGCATGAACCTACAGCAATAAACTAAATTTGTATGTGGTTTAAGATACATTTGAAGTGTGTCTATTTCTCAGAAAATATATGGTGATGTATAATGAGTATAGTTCTGAATATTCTTTTTTTTATTGAGACAGTTAAATCCTATTTCAAACCATTTGGAAGTAATAAAACATTTTATTGTTTATGGTATTTGCTGATGTTATTTATAATGTCTTATATTCATTTTTATACACAATCCTTGAGTTGGTGCTCAATTATTGTATACTTAATTATTAAGAATGGATTCTATGAATATATATATATATATATATATATATATATATATATATATATATATATATATATATATATATATATATATAGTCTCTTACAAAAAAAATGAGAATCTACAATAAAAATAAACACTAAAACCCACAACTAAAAGCTTATGTTTAGCTGCTTAAGCAAAGGATGACATTCAATGGAGGGATTTCAATCTGATCTACAGTCGTGTAAACGGGAAAGTTATAACAAGGAAAGTTATCACTGCCATCATCTGGCAAAACAAGGAATAACAAGAAAACTCTCATAGTTCTTATTATCAAATGTGTCTGACATGGTATTGAGCACCACATCAAGTGTGCAACTGGCTATAAATGTTTTATGGGCCAAGACGTGAACAGCTCCAAGGCAGTATATAATGTATGTGCTTGTGAAAACCATCAGTATATGTCAGCTATTGTATGAAGAATATAGCAAAATCAAAACAAACATATGAACAAACAAACAAACAAAAAAAAAAAACTGCTAGCTACTCAAAATATGTCATCAGAATACTTTTTCAAGTAACTAGTAAAACAATAGTTCTCATTTTCAAGAAAATAATCAGGTAGTTAAAAAAATAAAACATTTACCATTTACTTTGTTTTCTCATTTATTGACTGACAGCTCTCCTGTCCCTATGTTGAGAAAGACCATAAACACGATGCATAAACACGATTACTTACTGAGGTTCTACTGCAGCTTAAATGTGAACAAGTATTTATTATCTCACTTGCACAAAACAGATTCAACATCCTTAAAATGAATAAAAAAAGTGAAGTGCAAATAATTCATTGATAAAGAATGTTGAGATTTTTTTTCATGCCATCCAGAAAGGTTTGTTTAAGCTGCAGCCTCAAATGTACACACTTGCATTTGCCTTAAGTACTGCACATAATATTTACAATTAGTTACTTTTTTGAAGAAGTATAATAACAATATTGTTTTAAAAAATACAAGTTACCTTCCCTAACACTGATTCTAATAGGTCAGATTTAACCTGTTAAGTAGATGTAAAATCCGAGTTACATACAGTAAAGTTTTTCTTAATAGTATAGCGTTTCACAGTACATGTTTACTGTTTTGTTTAGTAATCCAATCCTAAGTGTCTAACAGTTTATTGATGATATTTGCCAAACTGCTAATTTTAATCAATAAAGTGAAAAAGGGAAAACAAAATAATTACATTCTCATTCTTTATTTAAAAAGAGCTTATTGTCACAGCGGTCATTTTAAAGTCTTGTTGGTTCAACCCCAGATTTTTTTTTTCCTAATCTTGAAATAAAATTGCACATAAGGAGCATTAAAAAGTCACCTCAAATTTCTGTCGGAGTTCAGTATCGGGGTCATCTTCATCTGGAATGGGCACATTATAGTACTCCCCCTCCTCCTGGTTTAACATTTTGTACCTGCATGGCAGTTAACAGATGGCAAACAATTAGTAAGCATTTATTGTATTTACTAAAAATATTTCAGATCCTTGCAGTTCTGTTTACTGCCATAAAATATATTCCGTTAAATCGATGACTAAATGTTGAAGTACTCAAAAATCACACAAATCTTTATGAGGTAAAGATAACAAAATATATCAGACAGAACATAAATCAAGAAAACTTTAAAGGATATTTCACCCTAAAATAAAAAAGCTACTAAACAAGAAGATTTTTAGTTAAAAACCTAAATTGTTGATATTCAACTAATGCATTGAATGCATTCTTACCAGCCACATACTGGGGACTTCATGAGCTCCGACACACCAAAAGACATTGAGCCCATGAAGTCATTGCGGGTGGTTCTGTCCCAGTCCCATACCTCCACAGCCAGTCGGCGGTCCTTATCTGCTGGCTTCAGCTTACTGGAAAATCACAACATATAATTTATGCCATGCTGTATATACCACTGATTTGAACATGTGAAAAAACCTGCTCCATGGAAGTCATTCTACAGAAGCATTCACAGCACATATTCTTTGATAATTACAGTTTAGAAATAGAATAGAACATTATGTAGGAATCTTAAATTTAGTGGGTTACATAATTTAATTTTCTAATAAAATATAATAGTATAATATTTATGTTTTACAATAGAGATGACAGGACGATTGGCTTAATCAGTATTTTGTTTCCTAGAATTAAAGCATTTTCAAAAATCAGTCATCAGTAACGTAAATCACGTAATAATATTACTTTTCTAAGAAATGCGTTACTTTTAAAAACTAACTAACAATGGCTGAGTAACTTTCTAAATGTAACTCGAGTTACTTTTTAGTTTAGTTCATTTGCAAATTGCTGAACTAAAATGATTGTAGTACAGTCAAATCCCGTACACAATGAGAGAATGCAGCAACAGACAGAAATGAAGCCAGCAGAGCCTTACATTACTACGATCGAACTATTCATATTATTTTGAACACATGGAAGAAAAGGTAAAGAGGATTATCTGAATGGTCAGTGATTTTCCTTTTTAATAAGACAAAGTACAAAAGAATCAAATGCATTGCTTTAAACTTTCATTAATCTGTATATATGGAATGTAGAGCTCTGGGCTCAGAAAGTTCTTTGAAGATAACATTATCCTACATTCATTTTCAAGTGGTTTTCATATGGATGCACTCCTGCACAGACCTGCTAACTTATCAACATGTATTAACTGTTAGTTTATTTATTGAATGGTTTTATTAAATGATTTATCTACAGTCCTTTGAGTCTTTAACTTTTTTTCTCCTTGCAAATTAACTTTTACTAAGCACGCCTTAACCTTAAACTGAGGGATTTTTTGGTTAAGGACTTTCATGCAAACGAGCCCTGCGTTGTCCTGCTACATCTTCTGCATCGACATTTACATTCTTGATCGCTATCGTCCTGGGACCTGCTGAATAAAGAATAGTTTCCCAAGTCGTTCAACAATCATTGCTGTAAGTCCATAAGGTATATCTGTTAGTTGTAATACTACAACTCCTTGAAATGTTTAAAATAAAAGCTAAAATTCTAATTTGTTTTAGCTTGATGGTTATGATAGTTTGCCGCTTTTCAGGGATCTGTCATAGAATACAACTTAAGTACTTAGAATTATTTTACAATGTCATCACTAGCAACGCAAATGAACTAGAAACTTTCGGCTTATTTGGCGTGATTATTTTTATACGTGACAGGTGCAGGTGTCGATTGTAAATGACATCACTTGCATAGGAAGCGTGGGTAAGCCTGAAAGTGCAACTCTGCAGCCACACCCTTCTCGGATGCCAGTGTTAAACCCCTAATCTTTTTTTTTTACTCTTTTTTTTTTTTTTTTTTACATCCTTTTTTTTACATACATTTTTAACGACCACAGAGAGTCAGGACCCTGGTTTAAGGTTTTAATGTCTCATCCGATTGACGGTACTGACTAAGCAGTGTACACTGGGGCGTTAGGACTCACACAAACTGCAGGTTGAGCACCTCCTACTGGTCTCACTAACACCACTTCTGGCAGCCACCTAGCGTCTCCCGTCCAGTTACTACCCTGCTTAGCTTCAGTGGGCAACCATGTGAGAGTTGCAGAGAGCTAGCTGCTGGCATTTTACACTATCAGTACTACTAGTTATTTTATCTATACCCAGCACAGTCTACACTCTACAGTAAACGTGTATAGAGTAGCATATCTTAAACAACTGATAACATAAATTATCAATGAGTTAAGCATCAATAAATAATATAATGATCATTTACATCAAATCTTGAGTAACAGGATATAACATAATGGGACTCACAATGTAAACGTTTCGTTCCAAGTTGGATTCAGGGAGGAGCGAATGGTTTTTGTTTTCTGTTTAGTCTCATTTTTAGGGTCTGGAATCAACTTGAGTTTTACATATGGATCAGACAATCCATTTGGGTCCATCGGAATCAAGTTCTTGCCTTCACCAACTGTAACAGAGCAACATGCCATATGAGAGAAAAAATCAGATCATGAATAAAGAACTAAATAAAAAAAGAAAAAAACAAAAGAGCAGGATAATGTAAACTGTGACATAACACAAACAACTTATGCAACGTTATGTATATATATAATTATGTGTTATGCAATATAAACTGACTATGAATGTAATCAACAGCAGTAAGTATCACAATGAGGGTACATAGAAAACACTTAGATCAGGCTCAACCTGTCAGAGGAGAAATCCATATAGGTAATTGATGTTATCTGTTAAATGATTGCAAACTTGAATAGATTTCATAACAGTTTAGACACACACACACACACAAGCACACACACACAAACACACACAGTAGATAAGTCAACAAGGAAAGGTTAAACTTTGAATATCTAAATATGTCTACTCAAAAGGCATATGCAAACATGTGGTATGCCACTAACATCTATGACAATACAATTAAATGCAAAAGGCATAATAAAAAAAGATATGTATATTAAAAACAAAGAATTCAACAGTAAAAGATCTGCAGAGGAACTTTATTCTGTGACAGACTACAAATCGAACACACAATTTCTCAGTAAATGCAAATGCCACCATTGACAACCGCAATGCCTGAATTATCTAAGTTAGACTGGTAGGAGGCGCCATGCACTTACATTACCCCACGTCTATATGTTTTTATTTACATGCATTCATTCTGTTATTAGAAAACAGTTATTGACATTATATAAGTACTGACAGAATGTAAAGGTGTTATCCTTATTTCTCAGTATGCGTCATTCAACTTCAATTTAATTGGCCATAACAAAAAAATCATGGCCAGACTGAAATTCAATCACTTGTCTGGTACAACTCAGCCAAATGTGTAAAAGTGAATGTGGATGAAAAATAAATACCCACAACTTATGGATGGTTCCAGGGAAATTCAGAAAAAAGGAGCAGGTATGTCTGTAGTAGGAGAGAGCATGCAAATGCTCTCTCAAATTTGGTTTTCAAATGTTGAAACTCTCAAGGGGACAATAATTGGAGTCCACATCCAGATAAAAAAAAAAAGTTATTCTCATGGGCCACCACTTTAAGAAAAATATGCATTACTGGCATATTTATCTTCCACTAAGAGTAAATATGTCATAGCTCTTTAAAAGCACTTTAAAGAGACACTAATGAGACAGAACATAAAAGCATACAATATGGCTAAATGTACAGTATATGGATTCCAGTGATGACAAATCTTGATGCTAGATCACAGTGACATTTTACAGAATTATGAGCTTTTAAAAGAACGAGTAGGGCTTCTTACAGTATACATATATATGAAAGTGCTTGTGCAATATTTACAAAGTGAGGACCATGTACAAAAAAGTGGGGCTGTTGTTTGCTTGATTCTGATTGGCTAATGAATAGGGCTTGACACCCGCCAAATGTGGGTAGATTTCAGCTGTGGCAGGTTAGACAGCTGCTCCCACTAGTCACATTGGCTGGTTGGAAATCATTTTTAATTTGTAGTTTTCTTAAAAGCAGGGTTCGACAACAAAGATGGCTCAATATTTGTGCAAATGTGATCCTAGAATCGAGATGCAGCATGATTGACAAAAACAACTGTTTGCGCAAGCAAAAGAAAGCAGGTAAATACTGAATAAGAGGATGATCACTCGCGCGCACAGGCGGTGTGATGTGCGCAACTGCTAAATAGTGTGCGTGCTCCCGTTTACTTGCGAGAAGCAACCGTGCCCAGAGGAAATGCAACTAATACGATTGGTTCTCTTTGAAATAGACTGAACAAAAAAAAAGTGATGATCGTGCACTCACAGTCCTGCTTTCAAGAGCTCAAGATTTTTAAAAAAATTTATCCTTTTGTAAGCAGCAGCAGTCACTGCGTTCGTTAAAAATTTTCTTTAAACAGATTTTAAACAGGCCTAACATTAACTGTGTGTGCGTGACCATCCTTTCATTATCAAACACGTTTTTTTTTCCTGCTTTCTTTTGCCTACAGTTATTTTTACTTTTGTTAATATGGTTTATTTATTTTTTATTTTTTTTACAATAATATGCTTATTGCCTACAATAAATGATTTAATATAAGATTAACTCCCCATTCATGTATAGTTAACTGATAACCTGAGACCTTTTGCCAGGACAGATTATTGTGCATATTAGATACATGACAAATCTTTTTAAATGTCCAATTTTTAAAAAAGAAAAGTTTTGTTGAATAAAAAGTACATGTATGCAGCTATATAATGCTTGTTTTGACACATTCAAAATGTGTGGCTATGAAATAATTATATATTTTTGCTGTGGTCAGAGATAAATTTGGTAAATCCTTTTATTGAGCCCTGAAAATTCATGCGAAATAAGAACTAATTGCAATGCAACACAACCCATATGCTCATGCACATTGGGCAAGCTCATACACAACACACACAAAAAGTGATATGAAAGAGGAGGCATGTGGACATAATACAATATCTAAATCAAGTAATTTTAGCATGTCAATGTCAAATTTATGCATATAAAATATATTTTCCAAACAACAAATGTGGGGCTAGTGAAAATGGTGAGTGGCTAGTAATGTTGGAAACCTACTAGCCACAGTGGCCTATGATCAAATAAGTTAATGTCAACCCCTGCCGATGAACATTCTAAACTGTGCAATTTTTGTCATGGAACCACACAGGTAAAGTAGTTTCAGGCAAGTTTTGACTGCATTACGGAGGCATTTCACTATGGTAATCATTTCAGTAATTTCAATTCCTACAACTGTGAAACATCGAGTCAAAACAAAACAAACTGCTTCTCTGTGTAGGACTATCTTACGCATATCATCCAAAAAGAAACAATTGTGTTCAAACAGAACATCTGAACAGTGCCTTTACCTGTGCTAACCATAGTATAAGCAGTATAATTATAGTATAAATAATATAACCTCATTATAACTAAAGTATAAATGAGAAATATCACATGAGTAGCAGTACAATATGGCTGTATTTATGCACATGCGTCGACTCGAGGCCGCAGGCTGAGTGCTTTAGTGTCCCACCAGTGACAACATACAGCCATACTGCACTGCACGAGTGTGATATTGTGTTTATACAACAGTTTGACAGCATAATTGTGTACATAAAAAAGAAAATCAAATACAGGGTGTCTGCAGCTGACCGTCAGAACAGCAGAAACCTTTGCTACTTCACAAACGTCACTTTAGAGCTAGTTTTGAATGATTCTCTAGCGTAATGTCTAAAGTGATGACAAAACAAACGATTTTGCTCACATTTTAAGATTATAAGGCTGAACGCCATGGAATGCCATTAGTCTAAAGACATTTTCCAGTATTTCTCTGTTGCAATCGTGAGATCACAATTATTAACCCCTAAAAAACCAAAGCAAGGCAAACGCTACCAGATTACTATGGTATAAATACAGCACTACAACATACAAAAGAGAGAGATAGACTTAGAATGTCACTTATCAGTTTTCCTATGATTTGATCAGCTTTAGTTAAAAATTTTGCTGAGTTTTTTCTCCTCTAATTATTATGCGGCCTCTGTCGCTATTGTGTGGCGGAACGTCAACCATATTTGCTCTGCTCAGTATGATAGGCTGATGGACGCTGATGTGCTGTATCTCCGAAATCAAAAATATTTAAAATAGGGACTATTCTTATAAATAAACTGCATAGTTGAAATCTTAACAACTACATTTTCACCTAAAAATCCCTCAAAAGTACATTATGTTGTCCAAAAGCAACACTATTTGTCAATCTGTAGTGAGTTTATTGATCTGCTGTCACTGTATTTGGGTGGAGTAAAACAGAGAGGTGAGGAGGCTGTACGAGTGCTGTTATTGCAGAAAATGGACAGATTTGTTGTAGAAATAGTAATAATTGATGATAGGCCATTGACCTATTAGAAAATAATTCACACAAAAGATGAAATGGTTTCTTGCTTTTCATTACCACTAAATTATTATGTTATGCCCATGTGATGCCCAGGTGTTCTTGTGTCAACATCAGTGTCCCAATGTGTATTGAACTCAACTCCTTTGTCATTACTAGTGCCTGAATCCAATACATGACATACTGATTCATGAACTCGGGAGCTACTGAGCTGATTGTGATTTAACCCCATGTCAGCTGTGTAAGATTTAATAGGCCTATATATAAAACTCAGGCTTGAACTCCTAATGAACACCTTTGGGATGAACTGGAACAATTAGCCAGGCCCCATCATTCAATGCCAGTAGCTATGTTTTTATCCAAAGAAGCAACTGGCTATTTATGCCTGTTAAAATAAAATCACATGACTTTTTTGAAGGGCATTCTGGAATTTAATCAGTAAATGTTTCAATTTATGCACATTTATTTCTTATCAGATAAAAAAAAAGGTTTATTTTGCTCAATTATGCAGTTTTAAAAAAGTTTTTATGCACATTTTCAAAATTTATGCTGATCTTGCAATTTCCATTTAGTATTTGTATGCAACAGGTGGACAGAAACATAACCAGTGGCTGTTTAATGTTAATGCGTGTGGTCTTACATTCATCCAATGTTAAAACACGCTTTCATTTTCCCATAACATACTCTACATTTTAGAAATCACCTAATTTCTTAAAGGGTCTAAAACAATTAATATGAAGGTTCTTTCTATATCCCTCCTTTCTGAGAGGCCACTGTACTGTAATTGGAGAGCCTAATTTGTCTGATTATTCTGCTGCTTACAGCATGAACTCTTTGGAGTGAATGCCAGGTGAAAACCAGGCACCGCTGGTGAAGCATGGTGGTGGCAGCATTATGCTGTGGGGATGTTTTTCAGCAGCAGGAACTGGAAGCCTAGTCAGGATAGACATCCTGAATGAAAACCTGCTTCAGAGTGCTCTTGACAGACTGGGGCGGCGATTCATTTTCCAGCAGGACAAAGACCCACAGCATACTGCCAAAATATCAATGGAGAGGCTTCACAACAACTCGGTGAATGTCCTTGAGTGGCCCAG